AATGTTTAATTCGTTGTGAGATATCGGTGTTGGACCTTTGTTTCCGCGGACCTTTAAGCATCGCTCTACCTTATATGATATCTTGCATCTCTATAGAGTATAAATTTGCTTTATCGAATATGAACAAATAAAGCTATATAATCAAATGCAAAAAATCTATATAGTACAAAACAATATAATAACTCTATTTACATTCCAATATGGCAATCATCTAATGCAAGTTCATATTATTTGCATTGATGTTGCAAATTACTTTATTAATTCATAAACAAAGATGAGTCCTTCATATGCGTAGACAAGTCGCCCACTTGTAGGATAAAAGGTATAATCATTATAATGACAACTGGCAAGTATACGGTATAAAAACTTGTAATCTGAACACTCATTGGATGTTATTGAGATGTTAATTAACCAATGGAATATACAACGAATGTGTATCCATCTTTAAAACATGTTTACTAATCATATTCCTTTGAACAAACGAGATCATTGTCGCCGTTTACGGACCAAAGGTTACGCGTTATGATAATGTATGACAAAAAATCTTCCACAAAGAATAACATAATAGCTAAAGGTAAATCTGTGTGGTTGGAAAAAACGAATAGTTTTATAATGATGTTTTTGATAATAGTTGTCTCAAAGCGCTTGAAGTATTATTAACTTCCCGAAGAAGAAATCAGAAAATCCGATTTGCTAACATATGTTTTCGACGTCTCTAGTCATCATGAATCGTTTGACACTAAAACTAAAAATTGTGTATGAGCAATCGTCGATAAAGTGGCTGAACTGAATTAAAAAAAACTAAATTCATTCGATGCAGTTCAATAAATTTGTAGTTACAGAAACGTGCAAACGTTTTCATCCCCATTTTCCTAAAAATCCTGAACCGGTTTTAAAAATTCAAAAACTGTTCGAAAGAAATGTCTTAGAAAAGTTTTAGAATTATGAAAAATAACTATTGTTTTTCGACTATAATTAATCCAATTACAGATATGACAATTTTATTTAAAACATATCAATTGAAAATCGTACTGATTGATTTTTAGTGAAAGCAATTATGCAACAAATAAATTGTTGAAAATATTATTAAAATAGCTAAATTTCACTTTGCACGTATCAGAAAGTTCTGCGCAACTTGCAAAGCAAAAGGCCCCTTACACCTAGTTTATCATAAAAATGAAAATAATTTTGTTTGATAGTATACTCATTTAAATATGATCTTGAATTAATCTTTAATGATAATTATATAAAATTCTACGAAAGTTTATACTTTTTAGAAAAAGTGATTAAACATTTGTTATGGCAATTTGAAAAAACGATTGTGAATGTCGTGTAAATTCCATTCATTCTACATTTTTTTTAACTTAACGTGTTTTTTAAATATGTTAAAATATTAACTAAGGGAAATCTACGTTGTCAATAAAAGTACGTTAATGTATGTCAATCACAATATTGAATAGCAAAATATTTTTATACGAATATTTTTTTACGAATTTAATTATAATAGTATAATTTTACTTATTAATGATACTATAACTCATCATAATTTAAAAGTTTATAACATCCGAAAAAAGCGATTAAATATTTGTTAGAGAAATTTAGACAAAAGACAATATTTGTGTAAATTTCATTGATTCTATATTGTATTAGTTCACTATAATCTTCAAAACCATAATAGCTAAGAAAGTATATAGTCAAAAAATATAATAGTTTTACAGTGATGCATGTGATAAAAAATTTGAATTTTTATTTATATATGTAACGATAATCATAATTCATAATATAGAATAGTAAAATATTTTTATACTTAAGCATGCTTATTTATTAACTTCCGTGGAGTAAGTTACAGTAATCGCAGAAAAATAAAAAAAAAATTATATCTTCACGTTTCTGAACAATTTGGCATACCTTAAAAAAGTGGATGTATGTATGAGTGTGTGTGTGTATAAATGTGTGCGTGTGTGTATGTACGAATACAATTTTTCGTCGACGATTTCGAGAACACAAATCAACCGATTTCAAAATTCTCAAGAATCTAATTATTACAATTTTCAAACAATTTTAAAGTTTTTTTTAAAAAAAATAATTTTAGCTACGGGAAGTTTCAGCAATTTGCCTTAAGGCACGATGTCATGCTCCACTAATATTTTATAATTTTATTATCACTAAAAAGTACATGTATATTATTAATTAATAATATACATGTACTTTTTAGTGATAATAAAATTATAAAATATTCAACAAACGATTATGCGTTCTGAAAAATTCTATTAAACATCTATCATGGCAATTTAGAAAGAAGTTCTCTATATCTGTGTAAATTCTATTAATTCCACAATTTATTAGTTTACTATGTTCTCCAAATACGTTTTGCTACGCACTCCCTACTACTACGTCTCATTGAAGCCATTGCAATCAAGCAGAATATAGATTGCTACGGATTCGTAGTAAGATTGGCAGAGACAAATTAGATGACCCCTGTGACCCACCTTAATTACACAAATCTGAACAAGAACAGGAGGCTAAAAGGGATAGATTTATGAGGTACACATGAGGGCGGAGAAATGATACGAATTACATTTTTGCAGCTAATGAAAATAGTTACAGAGGTACTAACTCAATCTTTCTCATAATACTGAATACAAACCCATTTTATGGTGTCATTTATATTTATAATTTTTGTCCCATTGTTTTGTTTATTTCTAAAATATAAACAATAAAAAAAACTTACCACTTGCTATTTTCTTCTGGTACCTTCACTGAACCAAGACAGGTTGTAATATTTATCTGCAAAGAAAAAATGATTTACTAATTATTTCACAAATATCTAGTAATTTTTGGGGTTGCTAAATTACAAAAATTATCATGATTTATATTTACTTGCAAATATATATGAAATATATACATATATACAATATTACAATATTTATAATAATTTGTGCATATGCACAATATTGTTTATCCAAGTAATTACTAAAATTATTTTATTAAATGGTTGAAAATTATTTTTTAAGAATGTATTTTTATTTAAGCACTATTCAAAATATATGCCGGAAACTTGCCATAAATATGAAACTTGTTGACGCATTTACATATTTTATTATCCGGTAGCAGAATAATAAAAAAATATTTGTTATATGTGTATATATATATGATAAGGTAATATAACTCAGTTACTGTCAATACCTATATACTATATTTGCTGTTTTATTTTTATATTTGGTTCAATCCAAATTTTTCTAAATATTTATGTCTTAATTTCAAATTTTTATATATAGTTCAGTAATAAAGTAATGAAATAATAAATTTACCATATGTGCATATATTATGTATAGTAATATCACTATCATTAATAATCTAATAGTCCGTCAAAACCGTTGTATATATATGAAATTCATTACAATTTATTTTTAATATAAACTGTAACATTGAATTTTCTTCGAACTTTGAATAACTTGATTTTTGAACTTTGAATTCAACTGTTAACTTATTGCATCCAAATTTCATACATATACAATTTCAATATAATTTAATTAACTTAGCATTAGTTACATGATTCATTTTTCAGTAATATTGCACTATCTTGATTATAATATATATAGTGATAAAAAAATTATCTAAACTTTGTTTTTTTCTAAATCTTTTAAGTGTGCTATCAATGTTAGTCGATACTAGAAACTATTCTAGCATAAAGAAGTCAAATTTATTATTGCGGTATATTTACTCAATTTTAGTGAAACAGAAAAATATTTTTCATTTTTTCCTACATTTTTTTGACCGTCTGATGGATTTAGTACCATTTTGTATGAGAAGCACTACATAACATTGCCCCTATGTAACTTCGGTCTATTTTACAGCAGAATCGGTCCCTTATTCCAAATTTCTCACTGGTATTCGCGGTTGTCATATTGTGTTTTGTTATATATTTAATTTTTTGAAGAAATATATTTATAAATAAACTATATATTACACATCATTTATATTATATTAATCTGCCACGTGCGTCTAAGTCCAAATAACCTGACATCTCAAAACAATAAATTAGTTCTTTGTGTATTATGTGACTATCACATATCATCGTCGCGTTTTGTGAGCATTCACTTAATTATAATATCCGTCAAAACACTGATTGACGTTTACACATGTGAAATTCCTTTGAATCGAGCGATTCACCTCCATATCGGTAAAATGAAATAAGACTCGCAAAGAAAAAAAAATTGTATAATAAATAAATGTTAATATACCGAACAATGGATTTTGAGTTGCTTATAAAATTTCTCATAGTTATCTGTGGCGCGATACCGTAGCTAGAGATGTTAGGTAATTGTCGAACTTCTAACAGAAAATTAATACCTAAAAAATGATGTTTTAAATTTAATACTTCGTTATATGTAGAGACACCACTCCACATACTTCACATCAATCTTCCGTAAAAAAAATATTATCTTTTTTAATAATAAATGCTAGTAATTTGTTATCAAGAGGTTATAAGTAAAAGTCAAAATAATAACAATTATCTTAATTTTAAGTAATTAATAAAAAAGTACTATTATTAAGTATATAAAATGTAATAAGATTAGAGCTATAAATAAGATAATTTTATTATATTTAACATATTTTACCTTAAAAATGATAAATATAAATAGGCAGCAGCTCAAATTAATTTATTTGTTTTACTGTTTGTAAGTAACATTTCACAATAATTATTTTTCATAACATTTACAAAAAACTTATAAAGCATATCACTAACTCTTTTATTACAATTAATTAATAATATTATTTAATTAATCAATTTTTGATTTGATTTGACATATTATTTAAATTTCTTTGACCTCTTCTTCAAATAAAGTTTGATGAAAAAAACTAAATATTTTTGTGAAAAAAGTTAGTTTCTTGATTTAATTCTCAGATTAATTTGTTTTCGTGATAAAAAGTTCCGTATTTTACTGTAAATTTATTACATTAGAACTGCACTAAATATTTGTTGTATTTTTAACAAGTTACTTGTTATTTTTGGAATTAAGTTGTCTTCTTTTGGGTTCATGATCTTTGCTATCAGATTTTGCCGTACTAATTTGCTGTGTTCGGCAAATATTACGTAATTCATACCTTTTACTCGTTGACGATTCGGCCTTTGATTTAGAGATAGAAACTGATTTTTGTTTTCTACTCCTACCTCTGCTTGTACTTGGCTCATTAAGCAGAGAAATGTTATCATCATCTGAATCCAATAATATTAGTTCTGGAGTTCTATCATGTGGTGGTTTGTTGTTACTAGTTGGTGGCGCTGCCTGAATGCCCAAAGAGTTCGAGTCATGGGTCAAGTTGCCATTTGACCCATTATTTTGATGAGCAGGAGTGGCATCTGATGATATAATTCTAACATTCTCACCATGCAGAACATGCGTATTGCCAATAATATATTCTTTTGTAACATAACTGACTCTTTTATCATAACCTGCCATATTATAAGGTGAACGGGCAATTACATAACACACATGAGTCAAAGGATCAGTAAAGCTAAAATATGGCAAACTAGCCATGCGAAAAGCAGCGGAATTAGTTGGTGGCGCTGCCTGAATGCCCAAAGAGTTCAAGTCAACAGTCAAGTTGCCATTTGACCCATTATTTTGATGAGCAGAAGTGGCATCTGATGATATAGTTCTAGCATTCTCATTAATACATTCTTTTGTTACATAACTGACTCTTTGATCATAACCTACCATATTATATGGTGAACGGGCAAATACATAAAACTCATGAGTGAAATGATCAGTAAAGTTAGTGAAATATGGCCAAATAGCCATTCGAAAAGCAGAGGAATTAATATCATAAAGCAAAATCAAATCTAATACAACGCTTTTGACATGACTTATATCAGTTTGATGGCTGAATAGAACGTTTAATTCTCGATATAGCCATGTACATAGTTCATACTTTTGACCTGGGTTCTTCTCATAAAATTTTGCTGAACACTTCAGGAAACCACCAGATACATCAGGTAAAGGATTTGCCCATAAATTAGATTTATAAACATTCGATCTAAAAACATCTACTGTCTGTGGCTGAATGATTCTGACAGACTGAGCTTCTGCTGTAATTTTTTTTGTAGATCCATGATCATCATCGTCGGATTGAAAATTATCAATTAAGAACTTAAAAAATTGATTAATATACTGATAACATAAATAACATGCTGATTTAACCTTATTCCATTGCAGCAAACATGTATACCAAAACTCATGGAGACGTGTGTTTCTAATGCACTTGTTTTTGCAGTTGTGCGAACATTTAGGGCACTTAGTAAGTGGTGAAGATTTGTTTTGAGCATTTTGCGATGCATTTGAAGAATCTTCATTATTAGGTGCTACATTATACGTATCTGCACTATCTCCTGAATAAGTAAGCATCGCCGACCAACTGGAGCGTGATGGCACATCCATGGTAAGTAATTCCTATTTATTATGTTAAGAACTGTTCACATTTATGACTTAAACAAAATTTAAATGGATTCATTGCATACTAGATTTGATTCCATAAATGTCAAACTATTCATATATTTCTAATAAAATTAAATTATGGGTAACTAGAACATTCTATACAATAATAATCATTCTTTTAGTCTTGTGATTCATAGAACATAGTCAGGCCCACAAATATAAGCTGGCTTTCTTGGAGACAAAAAAGACGTGCAAACGAATTAACGAATAAACAAATATAAACTCATAAACAAATTTCTACCGTTGTATAGTCGACATGAAAACGTATTTTAATATTAGCATAATCTAAAAATTCTTCTTTTGCAAAACTGAAAAAAAGCTTTAAATAAGATTCTTTATTTTTATCGATTACATCGATATTATATACATAGTAGTTTTAGACATCACTAGTTTTGATCCAGCATCAAAAGGATATATTAGAAACTCGATGTGACGCGATTCGAAGATGCGTCCCGCTGCGTCTTCGGGTAAAAAGAGTCGAGGAGCGATCGGAATGAGCTGTCAATCAGTGCCCATACTTACATAGACCATAGTCAGGACATTAGTAGAATTTTATTCATTATTCAACAGACATATTTGAATCAAATTTTTAAAATAACTCTGTAAATTTAATAAAAAATTACGTTACGTTGCATGTATGTGGAAGCATTTGCGACCATAAAAATTAGTCTGCAATAAAATGCTAGAAATTCATATAAATACATTTTGAGATAGATAATTTTATGTAGTTTCTAAAACTAGAATTGCTTTGGAAGCTGCTAGAATTAATTAAAATTTGCTTCCTGCATTTTTATATCCATGCCTATTCGGCAAAGTTTATTGTCAGTCCAATAAAACCAAGTAGAACTTTTAATTATACCATTACTTTTAAACTAGTAAAATTTGATTTAATTCTGTTCTTATTTCATTTTTACACAAGCTACTAATATTGATATATGTATTATATATTAGTATTTTTCAATTTGAACAGACTTTGGATAAATTGAAAGTAATGTCTACAGAAGATAAAGCAAACATACTTAATCTTCAATCTAGAGTATAATAGACCAAAGTAAACTAACAAATAAAATACGAACAAAGTCAGTAACATCGTTTACAACCGATATAATAACTTGTTGCCACAAATGCAATAAAATGCCACAAAATATTTATATAAATTTTGAGATTGATAATTGTATGTTAGTTTTAAAAAATAGGATTGCTTTAGAAACTGCTGAGCTTATAAATAAAAATTTCCTCATGTACAGCAATTATACCCATGCCTATTTTGCAATATTCATTGTCAGTACATTGGGTCTAATAAAACTAAGTTCAGCTTTTAATTATACCATTACTTTTAAATTAGGGAAAGTTGATTTAATTCTGCTTTTAATTTTTTAAAAACGTGCTGTCAATATTGATAAATAATGAAATTTTTAAATTTGAAAAAAACTTTCGATAAATTGGAAATAATATCTATCAATGAGGAAAAATTTTGAATTTATGCTTATATGCTTCCTTGATGTTAACACTAAAAACATTCGTAATATTTTATTTTGTTACTTTGCCAGGGATTCGTGGTGAAGGCTTGGTCTTGCAACTACTGTTTCCAGGTTCGATACTTATTTCTACCAACTGGATATCAAGCATGATATCAATTTTTACTCGAAATTGTAGATCGAGATATTAATTAATAATATATTTTTGCAGGATTGCTCTATATATATACGTATCTAATCAATGTCAACCACTCGAAAGGATATCAACCACTGTGTTTCCTTCTGAGGACATCACGTAAAAAATTATATCATAACAGCCCATAGAACACTAGCTTTGAGCATTGTTCAAATATAAAAAATAATTTATATATTTTTTTAAAATCTAGAATTTTTTTCGTATCATATATTATTCTAAATAATATTTCTAGCTTCAAACGTTTGAGTGATTTTTACCCTGGTTGGTCGTCTAATCGCTTGTGCCATCGCACCATAGATCTGTCGTGTTTGTTTTGCCGGCGCGTGTAATAATATTTGAAAATAAGATTTTTTTTACAAAGCTGAATTGTAAGTATGTGTTACTTGTAATAAACGCCAGGCAGAAGATTCATAAATCAACTGTTAATTTGTATAAAAAATCATTATTGTGATAGATCGACATTTTCTTAATCAAGTGATTTATAAAAAGTTACATGTGGTTACGAATTTGTTCCGTGTTATTCACCTCTGGCAATTGTTATCTCTTGGTTTAATTAGACATTTGCAGATTTAAAAAAATAATATTAAATTTAGTATAATAATGACATGCAAAATATAAATAATATTTTGATCTGTTAGTATTAACGAGTTAGAAATTGAATTGTATATATCAGTTAAATGTTAATAAATTCCTTAGTTCTGTTAAATCTGAATTAGTATTACATATATACGAACGTAACGAATGTTCTTTGAATAAAATGTTGAAGATTCAACTAAAGAAATAAAAATTTCGCAATTACTTGAAAATATTCCCATTTCAATCAAGATATTGTTATTCTAACTATGCGTAACAGGATTTTTCCTTTTTTCCTTGTGTACGGAAATATATGCCTTTTTTCTCTGTCCACAAAAACGCTTCCCATAAAATCGCCAGTACCCGTCTTTTAATACAAGTAATCCAAATTCGAAAATCCGTCCATGTGTGAAAATAAATTATGCATTTCGTTAAATCTCCTCGGACAGTACCTTACACATTTCGAAAAATCATCGAAGCGTGCAGAAATCGCTAGGGGTCAGCAGGTCACTGGATTTCTTTATTGCCAATGTTTGTTACATATTTTTCGAACCAAATTTTTTCTTACACATTTGTAAATATTTTTAGGCGTGCTTTTTTAAACCTAATTCGCACTTCTTGCTGGACAATGGTTGTAAATGCAAGTTTTGTCATTTTTTAAGATATACGGTTTGATAAGGGTAGGCATATTAGTTTTTTTCGACAAATGCGCTTAAGAGCCCTTTGACAATAACGGTTTGGTCTAATTTGCTTTATATTTCTTTTGTGAGTTTTATTATCGAATTATACAGTTGAATATTACTAATTTTAGGAATATTTGACATTTTAGCAGATGGGTTTCGAGAAATTTCTGGAAATGTTCTAAATTGCATGGGAAGAAGTATTTCATTTTTTACTTATACTGTAGGTGACCGTTAGATTAATAACAATAAAAAATACCTAACAAAATTTTTAATTCTGATCTGACAGAGACTAGTTAAAAACGTGATTGAAGTTTTTTATTAAAAATTTCAAAGTCAACAATATAATGGGAGGAAACATTGTAATTGTTTAAATAAAATTCGAACCGCTCTATTTTAGGATTCTAGCCTTAAGTGCTATTTTGCCTTAAGGCAAGTAGCCTAAATTTCCCGATATGTGTAAATAATCCCGATATGTGTAATATAGATTTACCAACTTGAAAAATGGTTTAAGTCAACCCTTTATTGAAAATTTTAGTTTTTAGTTTTCATAATTAAACAACTTTTCATAGGCCTATAATATTTAACAGTGTTCGTTAAGAGAAAATAAAATTCTAGAATATATTACAAACAATTTTCATCAATTATTGCTGATAATAACAAAGAATAATTCCAAATAATACAAATAATAGATTTTATACAACATGTACAAAAAATCGAACCCTATCATTTTATGAAACATATAATAAATTTACTAGTTCATGTATCATGGAAGCTGAATTTAAATACATTAATATAATCGCCAAGAGTGAATAATGAAACAAAATCTCCAGTAAAATCCTGAACAATAAAGTCTGAACTTTTTGTTCCGGAAATCGATTTAAGCAATGGTTGAGAAAATCCACCCTAGAAATCTTTCTCTACGGTCAACACAACAGGAGTAAGTAAACTGAAGTGAAATCCTTGATGGCCAAAGGAATAAAAATTAGGGATAATAGAGTTATTAAAAAATCTTATTTGAAATATTATCAAAATTATTTAACTTATAAAAACTTAGAACTTAGAAAAGAACTTACTTAACTTAGAAAAGACCCAAGGAATGAACGTATATTTGCTAAATTTTGCTGGATAATTTAATTTTTGCTTCAAATATTTTATTCAATATATTATTTTTTTTTATTTAAATGAGAACGTAAGTTGTATTTAGATCTTATTTTTATTATTTTATTTAATCAATTTTATTTTATTGTTTGATAAATAAAAATAACTTCGGGAGAAATTAATTAAGATATCAATAATTGATCGTATCAGTAATTGATAGTAGTCATTTGTAATGTTGTCATTAAAGGGGATGAGTAATATTAAATAAAGTGTCTTGAATAACTAATAATTGAAAGATTAACTAATAATATTGAAAGAATAACTAATATTTGAAAAATAATTCTTTTAAATAATAATTTATAAATTACACTAACTTGACAAATCAAACTATATATATATAAACCTTTTAATATATTTTTTTATAAATAAAAATATATTTTTTTTATTTATTTAATTGTCTGTTTTGGCTTAATTTGTCTATCTTCAATGCATAATATATAGGAATTTATATTGAATTTTCAAATAAAATTGCAAATTAATCCACTTACATCAGGAAATTATCAGGATTTATTATGTTTTTTTTTATTCTACTGATTTTATGTCATAATCATATGTTAATAAATAAATTATAGAATGAATTCCTAGTTCTATTAAATATTTGTCCACCACTGCAAAGAAAGGGACTGAGTGACCGATGGATTTGCTTCATATCTTTTTTGGTCAGTCAAAAATTCTTGAATAATCAAATCCGCACATAAAAGCCACTACCCCAATATCATATAGAGGATTGATACTCTCCCAAGCATTGAGGTAACCCACCTCGCATACACAAGTAAACAGATTCGAAAGAAAAAAACTATGCATATGGTACCCCAACGTATATTATATATAGGTACCTACCCTGGATATACGTAG